AGGTCGAGAGCGCCCCCCCTCCGCTGATCCACCGAGCCCGCTTGCCCTCCCCGGCGCCCCCTGTTCCGTTGTGTGTGTGTTTTGCCCGTGGGGTTGTGAGAGAAGCGGCAGCGGCATCGACGGAAAAGGTATATTTTTGAATTATCCAACACCAAAGGTGTGTGTGTTTGCTCTTATTATTCAACTAGGGTAGGACGCGCTCACGGCTGACCAATGAAAAGACGTCGCTCCTACTGCGGAAAACACAGCAGAACAGCGAGCAAACTCTGTACGTTGCTGCTGCCCGGCTGCTGCTGCTGCTGCTGCTGCTGCTGCTGCTGCCGCTGTTGTGCGTACGTAGTACGCGACCATTTGGTGGCAAAAGCTAGGTTGCTCAAACGTGCTGTGGGGCCCATTCCTCATGGACATCAGTCCCGGAAAGTGACATGGATGCTCGGTCAAATCCGCACGCCTCTGCAGCTCCCGGGCCTCATATCATCATGCTTGAGCGCAGGCCAACAACAACGACACGAAAAAATCGGTCCTTTGCGTATACCTACTTACCAACATGGTGACACAGAACCAGTGAAACAGAAAAAAAAAAAAAAGCGGGCCCTCACAATTTGCTGTGAAACAGGCCCCAACACAACAAAAATACTCGGGTCCTTTCGTGTATCCTACGTTACACGCATCGTGAAAGCAGAAAAAGCGAAACAGAACAAAAATAATATGGGCGCTCCTCACGCCTTGCCACGAAACAGAAAAAAGGGGGCGTGCACCCGCGCACCTTGCCGTGAAAAAAAAAAAGGTAGAAAAAAAAAAAAGTGGGGGCCGTTTTATCACACACCTTGCTCTACGTCGACGAAAGTCTCCGTGGGGTTGAACCAGAACACCCCCGCGGTTTGCCCCCTGCGGTGCCCCAGCATGACGGGTATCGCTCCGTACAGAGCGGCGGACGAGTCCAGCTCGTACTCGAACACGTCGAGGGTGTACAGCCGGTACGGCTCCGAGAAGTGCGGGGGCGCCGCGGTTTCTCCGTCGGGGGTGGTGGGGGGGGTGGTGGTGGTCTTGAGGGACATCGAGGCCGCGTGCTCCGGGATGCCGTAGACGTGGTCGGAACCTGCCGGGGTGGGCGCCGTGGTTGACGTTGAGTCACGACCCAATGTATCAACATACAGTATCACGCAACAGGTGGAAAACCCAGAGATGATCATTATATAGCCTACTCTCGACTCTCCCCCCCCCCCCCTCTCTGTCTTTCTCTCTCTCACACACACCGTCTTTAGAACATTTTCCGTTTTCCACCACACGGAGTCTGTTCAGCCTATTAGCGCGGTCGATGCCAGAAACAAAGACGTACACACACACGTCACCCGGTTGGCGCGGCCGATGCCAGCTAGCATTAAAGACATACACACACAGATACACGCACATCAGCCGGATAGCGCGGTCGACGCTAAAGAGAAGGACACACACACACACACATGGATTTGTTTTCATACCTGGGAAGTACACGTCCATGCCCACGCTGGTGGGACCATCGGGCTTGCTGTCGGGATGCCCGTCGAAGCTCTCCTCCCAAAGACCCAACCCGCTCTCTGCCACCACCCCAGCACCATCGCACGCCCCCCCACCCCCACACCATTTATTGTGCCGTAGAACGCAGGCATCGTAACGTGGAAGGCGGGCATCGTACCGTGGAAGGCAGGCATCGTACCGTGAAAGGAAGAAAGGAAGGCAGGCAGGCAGAGACAGTCGGGCAGATAGACAAAAAAGAGACAGGAAGTCAGAAAAAACACACAGCGAAATTGCCAAGCCGAAAGATGTGCAGGGAAGCCTCAGCAGTGGGAGGCTGCGAGTATAGGGTTTTGTGTGTCAAAATACGAGACTCGTGAGTGTGTGTGCCCCCGAAACCACGGCGCCTCCTACGCACCCCAACAGCAAACTACAGCAGCGGCGGCCGCGGTTGATTATCTATCCTGTGGCGCGATGAAAAAGGGTGGCTTGTCGATGGGGGGCCGCGGCGAGACAGCATGGGGGAAAAGTGGTGTGTGTGCCAGCATCACCGCCTGCGATTGTCTGGTACATGGGCGCGAAAACTCAAGCCAAAGGCAAGACGTTGACAAGGCTCTGGAAAACCTTCCGTGTTGCAGAGAATCTGGGATCCCGAAAAACCCGATCTGTGCGCGTGCGATTCGTCACGGTCTCCGGTACGTATATAGCAGCAACAGACGAGCAAAGTAGTTCTTTCAAACATCCTTTACCGTCGTGGGAGTGCTGGCTTGGACGACATAGGAATAGGAAGTGCGTCACAGCTATTGAATCCGGGCAGGGCTGTTTACCGACGTTCGATCAGCGTCAGCGCAGAAGACAGCAACACACCGCGAAAGGACAACAGTTCCCGCCTTCGCAAGCAGGTGCGAGGCTTGGCGACCAACATAAAAAGTCAAAAACAAGAAAAAATATGACATTACGCTCAAACCTATCACCACCACTGACACAACCACTGCCACCGCCACGGCCATCTCCAGCAACGCCAGGATCTTGACGGTACACTCCAACCGCCCATCATCTCACCGTCCTTTTTTAACACCACCACCACCACAATGTCCCACCACCACCACTACCACCACTATCACCACCACCACCAACTGCAACCGCCCAATATGACCTCACCGTCCTTGCCCTGCCTGGCCGCCTCGGCCTCCTCGAGGAGCCGGTTGTGCTCCTCCTGCGTCTCCCTCGTGCCATCCTCGTAGATCGCCAGACCGTCCTCCCCATAGTCTTTCACCTTTATGTTGACATCGCAGCAGCAGACGAGTCAAGGTGAGGGAAGGAGAGAGCAAGAGACAAACATAAAATCGGAACACTTTTGTCGGGCCGTCGTGTGCTGAATCAAGGGAAAGAGAGCAACATGGAAAAACAAATCGGCGCAATTATGGCGCGCCGTTGTTTTTCGCAGCAAATAAGACAAAGGAAAGAGAAAATGATGGTAAAAATACATCGGCACAACTTCGTCGCGCCGTTGTGTGTTGCAGCACGTAAGAAAAGGGAAAGAGAGCAAGATGGTAGGCTCAAGTGTTTTTCGCGCCTGTTTAGGTCCTCGCCGATATCGCTTTTTATCAGTCTTGTGCCTGTGAAGCGCAAACCGACTAGGGAAGTACTAACTTTTTTCGCGATTTAAGAAGGGTCCTTGGAGCGAGAGTCGAGTGTCCACATACTACTGTAGAATCCCGATGCAGCATCGGGGACACACCGGTGTTCCAAAAAGTTTGTGACAGAAAATGACGCCGACCTGTTGGGCATGCCGTCCCCGTCATCAAACCTCTCTTCCTCCTATTGTAACGGCCGCCTACCTCTACAGTATCTGTTTGATTCTACGATAAATCGCCTGCATCGTGACACGCTTGTTGCTGCAAGGATGCATCACGACAGCAGTGGACAATCAGCGTCCAGGCTGATAAAACGCATGCACCGACGAGAGACGGGGAGAGAGAAAGAATAAGGCAAGCCGCAAAAGCACCCCTCCACCGGACCGCCCTGACCGTGCACTAACGTCGTAAACACTCCGCGCGGTGTCCAAATCAGATACGGACGCAAAGCAGACAGCGTTAGGACAACACCCCCATGACAGCACTAGCAGCAGCAGCAACAGCAGCAGCAGTATCAACGCAGCATCACAAAGCGCAGCCTTCTCCGACCGTGCACGAACAACCCCCCCGCCCACGCGTGCGCCGGCGGTGCCCCGGTGAACGGTAACGGGGGCAAGCAAAAAAGACGGGGCGCTTTGGCACACCTTCTTGCCACGGTGTAGGTCGACGGTCTTGCCCCCCGCACCGCCTTCCCCAGCAGCGGCAGCGTCGTCCTTCCCCCGAGTTTGCTCGAAGTGCATCAGCCCTCTGCCGCCGCCACCGCCGTGCGGAAAAAGAACGGAAACCGTCCAGGTGGCGAGAGCCAACAAAGGATGGGCTTGAGGTTAGTGACATGTAGGAGTGGGGTGTGCTCTCTCTCATGCAAACGCATGCCGTACACGTTAGACCATACGTAGAACCCGCATCCCTACAACACCGGGACGGAGCGATATGACGGGATTTCGCCGGCCGAGGCTACGTTTCACGAGGATGGTCCAGAAGCTGTTCGTAATCGGGGTGGCTCCGTGTTTAGTGCTGGCACCTCCATGGTGTTCCCCATCAACTGAAGACGCAGGTTGATGTTCATACAACCTACCCCAACGGAGGCATGTGGTCGGTGGACCCGTGCGGCGTCTCCGTCCCTGAGATCGGCTGATAATCACCCACGAAACACCGAACGGTGATTTCCACATCCCCTGGACCGATTTTCAAAGCCAGGTTACTCCATGACGAAGAGGATGCCAACATCAAGTGGTACGTTTTCGGGATGAAGGATCTTGATCGGACGGTTCCAAAGCCGGCGCTGTCGGCGCCGCCGGTCATTGGGCCATGGAGAAATCGAGCTCAGAAAAATCGGTTCCAAAGGGAGTGTGATATATTCTGTCACCTTACGTACACAAAATCGTCGCTTCTTCACTCCCATTTACCTCCTGTTGGCAGAGACAGCGAGCTCGTCGCCGGCGTAAAGGTCCGCCTGGAACGGCTCGTACCGCACGCTCAGCACGTAACGCCCGCTGCTTCCGCCGCCGCCGCCGCCGCCGCCGCCGGCAACATTGCCGCCCAACTTGCCGTACGCCGCCAGCACTCCCCGCCAGCCTTCGGGCAACTCGTGCAAGGCGGGTGGGAGCGAGGGATCACCCGGGGACAGCAGCGTGTGCTCCGCTGCCTCCAGCTGGTGCTCTAGGAACACGTCCGGAGGCTGTGGTTTTCGGGGGGGGGGTTGGGGGGGGGGTGCGCGGTGGAAGGACAAAACGTGTAGGGCGGGCAGGGGGGGTCGCAGTTGTTAGGAAAAAGAA